CTCGGCGTCGCCCTGGCGCGGCCCGCGCGCCCCACCAAGGGCAGGGGTCGCCTCTCCGCGCGGCCTGGGTGCCTGCGCTGAGCCGAAGATCCCTGGGGTGCTCAGTCTACGGGGTGTGTGTGGGGGGAATTCAGCCCGCTTGGCCTCAAACTTTGTTCTTAGCGCACCGGATGCTGGAGCGTAGCCACCCCGCGAGGCGCGAGGGGGATATCCGAGTGACAACTGCGTCCAGCCCTTGTGCAAGTGGTTGTGACACCGTTTTGCAGACCTCGAGCGCGGTGACTGGCAATGCTTCCTGTTAAGCAAAACATCTGCTTTGTTAAACAGAATTCAGCCCGCTTGGCCTCAAACTTTGTTCTTAGCGCACCGGATGCTGGAGCGTAGCCACCCCGCGAGGCGCGAGGGGGATATCCGAGTGACAACTGCGTCCAGCCCTTGTGCAAGTGGTTGTGACACCGTTTTGCAGACCTCGAGCGCGGTGACTGGCAATGCTTCCTGTTAAGCAAAACATCTGCTTTGTTAAACAGCACGTTTAATAAATCCACAAAATGCAGATTTTTTTTGCAGAGTCTGTAAGGCTTCTCGGCTGCCTAAAGTGCTTCCAAAAGCTTCCATGGAATTAGGGCGATGTAAAGGGGGTGAGGATCTGAGCCAGCACAGATACACGGGAGTGTTTGCGCATAGAAGTAAACGGGCAGAGAGAGCTACCTGCGAAGTCATGCTCTGCAGAAACTCTCTAACCTCACATACCCTGGTCACTGTGCTACTGGACTTCTTTATTAACTTGTACCTAGTTGTAACGTCTTGCTGTTTGTGCTAACTGAACAGCCCCAGATATTCTACGGTAGGTAACAGCAGTCTCGATTTAATAAACATTGCCACTGAAAGGAACGCTTCTTAAGGGCCTACATTATTATTCAAATTGATGCTGAGGAAGATGTAAAGAAGGAAGCGTGTTCAACAGCTCTTCACTGATCTTTCTACAGCAACTTATATCAGCTTCATTACACTGTTTATACAAACACTGTAAAATGCTGTCCCATTGGTATTACACTACTAATTGGAACTACTACTTTCAGAAAGAAAAACACAAGTTGTAAAGACCAAAATAGAAACCTGGTTTTAATTTGCATCTCACTGTTCCTTTCTTTACTGAGGGCTGAAGGATGGATTACTGATGGATTTATTTGTATAATTACCAATCCGTTCTGATGTATTCAGGCATTTTGTACATTACATTTATCAATGTAGACAATCCATATAATACTTTTACGTCGCTATTTGACTGTCAGGTTTTACAAATAAACATCGCCTCAGCATGATGAAAATAGACTGCATCAGAACAGCTTCATCTGGCACAAACCCACCCTAAAATGAATTCTGGGAAGATTCTAGCCAAGAACAGGGATGATCAATGCAAGAAGATAATGCACCGACTACTCTTTTATTCTTTGCAACCACCCCTGCGATTCTGTACATAGTGATGTTCTCTAATGGCTCACTGGACTACAAGATAGGTGTTTTTACAGCGGAGTCTTCATGCTGCTCTCCCAGAAGATCACTTCAGGACGGCACCATGTTCATTTAAACCACTGTTTATTAACTTCCCTGCGAAAGGGTATTAGGAGTGTTGGCCATGCCTGAATGGCAGAAATACTTCCACTGATGATCTCCAAATCCAAACTTTCCACAGTAGCAGTACAGAAGGTGGAATACTAGGACCGTGCTTGATTTGGGAAATAGATTTGATCCCACAGGTTTGTGGCCTGCGCTAAACCAGGGGTTAGACAAGTGTTTGTTCAGTCTGAAATTATATTGCCTTCATTTTTTCATAAATGCAAAATACAAATTTCACAGATACTTGAGGAGAGGAGATTGCAAAGTAGGAACGAGTAGAAAACTTTGTAGCAGCTATGCTTCCGAGCCTTCGTGGATCCAAGATTCATCTCTTTTTTCTGTTCTGTTTTTTTCTGGTTCAGGAATAGGTAAGCCAAGAATGTCAGCAGTGAATATCTCTGCTGTGATTTCATCTGGAATTTCTTCTTCCAGTAAAGCTGCTGCACCTGGAGAGCAGTAACAACAACACCAACAACACAAAACAGACAACAGCAACATAAAAATGGGTTTCCACAGAGTAAGGTTTATAAGCAGCAGTTAAGTGGATGGAATGTTTTGAAGATGTCTGAAGCGATCGTGAAAAAGGATTGGCTTAGCTTAATACTTTATGCCCTTATACTTATGCCTTATAAGGGGACAAGCTGTCAAATCTGTGAGGCTGACAGCCTCATCCTGCAGTAAATACCTATCTCAGAAAAGTCACGAGAACAAATGGAACTTTTACACTCCGCTGATTTCACTTGGTTCTAGGATCTTACGGAATCCAGGGATTTCAAAGTTGGTTTACAGCGCTAGACAGTTCCCTTCAGAAGAGGTACCTTCGAAGCCCACAGGTCCGTGGGCTGACAGCCCTGACCGGATGCTGTTCCGGACTGGCGTGGACTGGGACATGAACTGTATAAAAATGTGGTACTTTGCAGCAGTTCCAATTAAAATGGGCAATGCTACTTGGATGAAATCAACACTATAATTTGCTATTCTAGACTGGTGTAGACTGGGACATATATTGTATACAAATGTGGTAGTTATCAACAGTTCCGTTATAATGGGCATTACTGCCTGGATGAAATCAACACTATAATTTGCATATTCTAGGATTCCCTTTTGCCTGTGGACTTTGGCATGTAAACCTTCCACTGTGTGCTTCTAATTTCAGTTCCAAGCCAGCAGATAAACACCAATGTAATCTTGTCAGGTCCCAGGTACATCTCATTGCTCATTTATTTTTATATACACCCATGCAATGGTTGCATGTATCAAGGACAATCTATAGCTCTATGGCTATTTTTGCAGTCCTGTCGGCATATTTTTGACAGCTCTTGGCCTAACAGGGTAATAGGTTTGCAATTTAAATTACTCTGTTGGGGAACCGAAGCAATTCTACTTCTGTGTTGCGTAGAACGATAATCCTGTGTACCTGAGGTATCGGAGGTGCCCGGTTTAGTTATTCCTCCCTCTGGATTCATGCCCAGCAAGGTAGTCAGACATGCTGCCAGCTCTTCTTCTGTCATATGCTCTCCTGTACAATAAAGCGAAACCAGTCTCTTGGGTTATGGTATCATTAACACAAAAACTAGCAGATAGCTCTAACAAGAACAGTGTACAAACAGAATAGGGTAGTATGAAGGAGGATTTGGTTTCTGTGAGATGCAGACCACATCACCAATGGAAATGCATGATCCCAACACAGGAAAGCGTTGATCCGAGGGAAAATTGTTCATGTATACTGTGCGTTTTGGCCAAACATATTTATCAAAGGGAGAAATTGGAGCCGTTGCTCCAACTGGAGCCGTTGCAGACGGCTTTTTAGGTTAGGTTGCACTTGCAAGGGCTTGTGCTTCTATTTCCACTGAAGAGCTCCTGGCACAGGACAGCCCACAGTCCAGGTAGCCCAGTGTCCGTGGCAGTAGCCAGTTCATCACTCAGAGGAGGAAGAGGAAGGTGTGGGAAAGTCTTTAATATAGTATCCCGGAATAACCTGAATGCAGCAGTTGTTCCCAGTTAACGGTTGCTCATGCCCTGAAGCATAAGGTTATAGATCTGTTATGAAATTGTTCTAGCGTGTCTAACGTATCTATTTATGGGTGTTCACACCAGCCATAGAAATAGCTACCCTTTCTCATACCGGTTGAATCCTTGGTTTCCAAGCATCTTTGTGGCAAGGAGTTTTACTAGTTGATGGACTGAATGAAACAACTTTTCTCTTCACCTATTTTAATGCTCAGCTGCACCAAATGCTCCTTGTTCTGACAATAGGAGCAAGACAATACAAGTACTTTATTTACTTTTCTATAGCACTGGTCATCAGTATATTTACACATGCCTTTACAATGCTCTCTCTGATTAAGCTAAACTAAACCATTCTCATCTTTTCAGACCTTCACATATAGATTCAGTCCAGAACTCTGACCATTTTCATCCCTCCTTTCTTGTCCCTCTCTTCTTCAGCTTTATATTACCTTTCTGGACACTGTGTGACTAGAAAAGAAGACAATAGTTCAGAAGAGGGTGTGCTGGAAGAAGGATATCTTTTGCTGAGAGCCACACTCTTCATTTGACAGACAAGGTACTTCAGGCCAGTGGCAATTTCCAAAGCAGTAAAGAAAGTGCAGCTGAGATGATAGATGTGATTATTCAATTTAAAATTCCAAGACAGGTGGCTCCACGCGCCTGCCCTGGTTACCAAGCTGTAGTTCCAAATTAATTTTTTGCTGCAGTGAATACGTTCTGAAATTGAAGACAGAACTAGCAAGCATAAAGCTAATATTAGAAAAGAAATAACTCACCTCTGCACTGAAGCAGCAACAGTAAGTCTCCTTTGTCAATAACTTTTTCTCCGTTCTCATTATCATAACCAAGAACCTGAAACGCTCTCCGTATTTTTTTCATTGACAAGCCAAACGCAGGTCGATGATTTATATAAAGTCTGATAAAATCCCCTAAATTGATTTTTGTCACTTGTTTTCCAGTATCCACATACTCGCTGAATTTTACTTCATTCATCATTTCTTCAATCTAATGATCAAGACAAGAAAGATCATTACAAATTTCCTTGTTGAAGAGCATCGGGCCAGTTTCTGATCTCATGAAAGCCAAGGTACTGCGACTGGGTGTTTTGGCATCACAGATGTCATTGCTCTATCACAATAATGAGGAGGCAGTCAGCAGCTGAGAACGGACACAGTTAATGGCTACGCGCCTGTTTTTATGACAATATTAGGTAAAGACGAGGGCAGCAGATACTCAGTCATTCTGGATTTCCTACACCTGCTTGTGGAACAGTTCTCAGCAGAGCCCATGGAGTTACTCTAGATTTAGGCGAGCATAACCGAGCTGTTTATGCTCAAAATTACACTAATGCCAACTGTGTAATTCCTGCAGTATTCTGGCGTATCTCTCAGATAAGCATTTTGTCCGATATGTTATATGTTACTGCTACGAGGTGGGGAAGAAACCATCCCCCACGGCCTGAGAGGTGAAGGCGCTTGGTGATTTTGCAGCTGTTACCAGTACCTTTGCTGCAGCTGTGCCTCCACTCCAGGGACAGCGGGCAGGCAAACCACCAAACACTAAATATACCACGCTGCTACCAAACCGTGTGCACGGAAGTACCAACATAACCAGGCTGCGCACAGTAAATACACACCACGGCCGGCATCAGCGATCTCCCCACCTCGTTCTCCACCCCCTACCCGCCCCCCCCCACATGCATCTGGTGCAGCGCTGTCACTGCAAAAGACAGAGCTGAGCTTTGCACCGCGGGGCTCACGTTCTGCCGTTCGTATCGCTAGATCGCTCATCTGCTGGGTAAACGGGCAAGCGCTGGCCGCGCTTGATACTAGTGGTTTTCCTGAAGTCCGGTGCTGTGAATCAGCCCAGGCGCAGCTGCGCAGAGGTTTGCTTGGAAGGCAGGCTCTGCTCCAGGCCTTCCTCGCCCTCGTGCTCGAGGAGGCAGCCCCCTTGCAGACACGAGGGGAGTGAAAGGCCGGGAGAGTTCCCCGTGCCACCAAGCATCCCGCTCCCCGGGAAGGGAAGCTGATGCAAGAGCTCCCTGGGGAGGACTTTGCATTCAGCCCCGGGCCTTTGTCCTCATGTCACAAGTTTTTCCAATGAATGAAGCCCGGGGAAGATGGAAATCTTAGCCTTATATTTTTCCTGTAGCAAATGTCGTGCCAAGCAAGAACAGTCAATTTCACTCAGCTCTAGCTGATCTGGGATTAGGTTTTATATCAGCCCCACTGAACTACAAAAGAAAAACACCAATTCCCAAAAGCTTTGTTAGTCAGCCCAAGCTGCTTTTTCTCCCTTCTGCTTTTCCCTTATTAAAACACTCTGGAGAGAGATGAACTTTCTGTACTTTAATACTATCCTGCCTGCTTTGAAAAGCAGATTGTAGCTTGCCTAGTTTCACAGCAGCTTAGCACCTCTGCTTCCTTGCATAAAATGCTGTTTTGATTTTGCTTTTTTTGGGGGGGGGGGGGTAAGGTTCCAGAGACATTTCCCAGCAACCACATATCAGAGGAATACATCCTCTCTGTCCCCAAGAGACAGAAATGTAATGAGCCAGGGAAAAGGTCTAACAAAGTACAAGGGGATACAACCAAAGCATGAGACAGGGCAGAGCAGTCCCAGCTTAGACTGACAATGGCTGGGCGCAGGAGCTCTGAAGAAAGTCTGTTAGGTGGTGGTTGTGGTGAACTCTTGCCTCCCATGTGCTGGGTCTTCTGGCAGAATGTATGGCCAGGCAGATGCGGTGGCACTGACTCATAGCAGCATCTCAGCAGCCCGTGGGGCTCCCGTGCAATCAGCAGAGACAAGCGCAACCTTCCCCCGCAGAAAGATGAAGGGAACACAGCAATGCACTGCTTCCCTTGGGAGAACCCCTCCTGTGCTGAGGGCCTGTAGCCGGTGCAAGGAGGTTGTTATCTAAATCTCCTTGCATCAGATTTGTTTTTTTTTTTTTTTTCCTATATGCTTTCATTACCCTTCTGCCTGGCTGCAACATTACAAAGGAGGTGCGTACGTGGGCAAATGCCCTGTGGATACAGCTACAAAAGGGGAGAAGCAGCACCCTTATTAAATCAGTTGTCTTTGAGTGCTGTAAAATTTGAAGCTAAAAAGCTCTTGAGAAACGTTTGAAAGGAAGCACCACTGCTGCAACCTGAAAGGCAAGCTCAGAGAAAGCCTCTGCAGAGTTACCAGTTATGAAAGAGCTTTAATTCCATGGGAAGAGAAGCTGCCGTCTCCATCTCAAGTCATTCTTTCACCAGTCCAAGAGAGACCAAGAGAAAGAGGCTCTGTTATGTCAAAAGAGTCACTGCACGGAGCTAGACATTCCCACCCCCTTTGGTGTCTTGTGTTATTTAACATGTGTAGGAAGCTTTGGCTGAGTCTCCATCCAGTCCCGCCTTCTGGCTGAGGTCTCAGCCCATGGGCCACCAAGCCTATGGTGCCTGTAAAGAAGCTCAGACATTACCGGAAGTCACAGAGAGACCAAAGGATAACTCTGCCCACAGCGCAAGGTACTTTTGCCCCTTGGCCATGGAAAGTTGGTGACCGCTGCCCTTAGGAGCCAAAGGAGGATTTGTTCCTCGGCTTCCTCAGTTTATCTTCTGAAGAAAGCCAGCTCTCTTCAGAGGCGGCACCTCTGGGCGTTGTGTGATCTGGGCACTCAGCCTCCGGAAGATCTCAGGTCACCTTTCCTTGAATGCTTCCCAGCTCTCAAGCCCTGGGTTCGTCCCAGCCTGCCCTGGCAGCTATCCAGCTCTCTAGGGAGGCATCCTTACTCTTTCAGAAATACGCTGCCAGATTCTGATCTCTACTCTACTGATGCAGACCAGATGAAATACGTTTGAAACCAGCAAATGTACTCTGGGGCCATCTGGCACGACAGTGGTCAGAATCCGTCCCTCAGGACGCCTGGTAAATGCAATCATTCTCGTTCTTTTTTCTTTTAATAACAACAACAACAATAAAAACAACTGACTGACCTTTTCCTCTGATGGATAAAATCCCATTGCTCTCATTACAAAAGGAATTTCCTCCAAGGGAATGTGTGTTGACACCTGTCTGGTCTCCATTGTATCAATACCGTGGCTGCGCAGCTGTGCGTAGTAAAAATAGTCTTCCAGTTCCTGCGAGGGATTCAAACGAAATACTGTAAAGTTCAGTTACCAACAGGCGCAGCAGATAAGGCTTCTTTTAAGCTTTATTAACAGGCATATCAATGAGAATGTTGTTAAAGGCGATCTGGACAAAACCTAAAGAAATGTCAGGCCTGAATAAATGAATCTTAAACTCCAAGCAGATGTTGCTGCACAGCGTTCACGGCGAGCGTAATTACCCTGAAGAATTCGCCGTCTCTGCCGCCATCCAGCAGGTTGTAGAAGGGCACCAAGTCCTCCCCGCCCAGGGGAACGGCGGCCTCCAAAGCACTGCAGCAAGCCGAGGAAGGAAGGTACGGGAAGGGGTCATGTGAGGAAAGATTTCATGTTTCCCTTTCTAGTCATTGTGCAGAGACATTTTCAATAAATAAATAAAATCCCCAGGCCTCAGGACGCAGGGAAGCACAGCACTGCCCTGAGCTGTGTGCTATTTTATTATCAGCCTGCACTTCTACAGCATATTTCATACCCAGGTTTTACATACAATAGCGCAGTGTGGGAATTATTACTGAATGGTCCCCTTGTTTAGTGGAATGAGCACAGGGCGGGGAGCCAGGAGCTTTTCCATGGACTTGAGCTTGGTGTCTGGCATTTAGCTTTTCTGCTTCCTTATAGAGACATTGAGGGAGACGAATTAGCTAGATCAGCATTTTGAACGTGCAGAGGGCTGGGGCTTGGTGTTTGCAACCAACCACACGAACCTAAGCTCCCTCTTCCTTGATCCAACACATTCTTCCCCAATAACTCAGGGCAATCCATTACTCTGCATCCTCTGCTGTAGTGGATGGCTGTCGCAGGTGCAGCGCACATTAACCTAAAAAAGCCTCCGTGCCACCTCTCTGCTCTTTGTTTCAATTTCGTAGGCAGCTGGGGCCAAAAGAACCAGTTCAGGTCGCGCACGTGAAAAAGGGAACGAAGCCTGGTCCTGCAATCACCGCGTAGCATTGCCACATCACGCCCCACGTCTGGCAGCAAGGCTGCAGCTCTGATGCACACCTCTGGAGCGCTGCTTCCGCTGGGTTTTTGCAAGCTTCATGCTTTTTTCATAATTAAGTTATTTGGGCATTAAACACAGTGGAGACGCACAAGATGCCAGAAGCAGCAATAAAATGATAATTAGCTCATCAAGAGGTTCACTCCAAAACCAAATTACATAGGAATTCAATGTTGCCTGGACTCTGGCCAACCATTATAAAGAAGGATCATTTATATTCTATTGCCTTCCTTAAAATGTCGCTTATTCTGACCCCCGACTGCTTAAGCCATACAAAGTGGAAAAGAAAATAAATAAGCCCGTTGCTCTCCCACCCTGGTTTCCTTTGTTCTGGCACATGAAGGTGAGCTGGCTCAGCACCCTTTTGGCTTTCCTCTGAGCGCGCAGTACCTGCGACAAGTGCTCTACACAGGGCCAGCGCGTGCCTGAGCCGTGACGCCTTTATCCTAGGGAGATGGGGGGGGGCTCTGTGTCTCGGGTTCAGCGCGCTCCAAAAGGCAAAATACAAGCAAGGGCTAAAATCCAGCTCCAGTGGGGCTGGTTTGCCAGAAACAAGAAGGAGGCGCGCTCCGGCTTAGACAGTGGGGTGATGTGCAGGATAGAAAATCCAGCCACCGGTCGAGAGAGAGAGAGAACATGCCAAGCTACCTGCCTTTCCTAGCTCTGCCACGGGCTAAGCTCCTGGCCTTTAAGCCCGAAGTTGCACCACGCTTTTGTGGTATCTACCGGGCGTTTGCAGCTGCTCTTGCAGGGGGAGAGCAGCGAGCAGCGTCGGCCCTTGACTTGCAAAGCAGCACGCGCGTACGCCCTGCCTCTGCTGCGCGGCAGCCTCCGGGAGCGCACGTCCCCTCGGCCCGCGCCGATCTGGCACTGCCGCCCGGGGAAAGCTGGCGGAGGGAAATCCCACGCTTGCAGCCAGAGGCAGAAGAAACCTGGCAAAGGGGGTTATCATCGACACTCCGGCCAAAGCCTGGAAAGCCTCATTTGCGAAAGCAGCCTTCAGTCCTCCAGCTATCCCCTTTCCTGCAGTCCATTTACTCATGTAAGCAAAGCTTTATAGGATTAAGGTGGCTTGTCCTAAATCCAGCCTTCAAATGCAGTGGGGATTTCCTAGCAAATGCTGGCCTAACCCGTTTGGGGAACGGACGTTTTTTGTGTCAGCCATCTCCCCGTGTGCTCATCCCGCAGCCAAGGCCGCTCTCCCGATCCTCTGCTAACCCAAACTATCCCCCATCACGCTGCCCTCGCGGGGACCAGAAAATCCTCTGCCCGATTGCTTAGCGTTCGGGCAGCCTTTCCCGGACTGGAGCAGCCTTCGCTCGGGCGGCGTTGGGCAGGCAGCTGCGGAAAGCCCCCGCGCGCCCCTTGCTCGGCTCCTCTCCGCGGGACTCACGTCAGGTTAACCTCCCACTTCATAACAGTGCGGTCGTCCCCCCCCGCCGTGGAGACGTA